TCAAAATATTAAGAAATTTTTGAGGACTACTTTAAGTATTTTTTAGAGACAGAATCTTGCTGTGTTGCCTGGGTTACATTCAAACTCCTGGGCTCAAGTGATCCTCCTTCCTCAGCCTCCCAAGTAGCTGGGACTACAGGCATGCACCACCGGGCCCAACTGTCCTCAGTTTTGATTTACCTTTTGAGTTTTGTGTTGGAATGTCTGCCAAAGGTGGGAAACTTAAGTCAGATTGAAAAGTTGAAGATATTTTATTTAGCCTTTTCTGTCACCAGAACTTATGAACAAATCTTTATATTGCATCTAGGCTTATTTTACATTTGGATTCATAATTAAGAGCAGAAAGTGAGGTTTATGATTATATGCTTCAGAGTTTCTTTGGAGCAATGTTTCTTAGTGAGTTTGCAAATGTGGGGCATTGTTGGTATCACAGTGCCTTGGGGAGTACTACTGGCGTTAGCAGATGAGACCCAGGGATACTGGCTTAGTTTGTGTTGCTGTATATATTTTTTTCTTTCTGTTTTACTAAACAGGTTCAGAAGGTACGTTTGTGTTGCTATAAAGGAATACCTGAAGCAGGGTAATTTATAAGAAAAGAGGTTTATTTGGCTCAGGGTTCTGTAAAGTTGTATAAAGAAGCATGGTGCCAGCACCTGATTTTGGTGAGGCCTTTAGGCTGCTTCCACTCATGGTGGAAGACAAAGCAGAGCCAACATGTGCAGAGATCATGTTGGGAGAGTAGTAGTAAGGGACGGGGAGGGTGGTGCGATTCTTTTTTTAACAACCAGCTCTTGTGGGAGCTAATAGAGCACAGGAACTCATTATGGTGAGGATTGCACCAGGCCATTCATGAGGGATTAGTCTCTATGGCCCAAACACCTTCAATTAGGCTCCACCTTCAACACTGGGGATCATATTTTAATATGAAATTTGGAGAGAGCAAATATCCAGATCATAGCAGTCACTGTATGCCCTGAATGTGCTAGATAGTCCTGGACAGTGATGTTTGTCGTTCCTCGAATGCTGATAACATTATGTTTGAGGTGCCCTGGGTTTGCAGCGTTAAAGTTTATAGCAGATACATTCACATCAGGTAATATTAGGCATATTCATGAATTTAATTTACAGAGTACCTGTTGCTTTTTTGTGGTTTTTTGAGGTATAATTGAAGTACAATAAAATGTACATATTTCAAGTGTTGATAAATGTTGACATCTTATACCTGTGAACCCATGACTGCAATGAAGATAGTGAACATGTCTGTCACTCCCCCAAAAGTTTCCTTTTGCCACTTGGTAATTCCTCCTGCTTTTCCCCATAACCCCCTGAACCTCTTATCTTACCTGCTCTCTGTGACTATGTTAGTTTGCATTTTCTAGAGTTTAATATAGGTGAAACCATACAGTGTATTCTCTTTTTCTGCCTTCTTTCAGCATAATATTTTAACATTCATTTGTGTTGCATGTTATCAATAGTTCATTTCTCTATTGCTGAATAGTATTCCATTGTATAGATGTACTGTAATGTCATTAACCTGTTAACGGACATTTGGGTTCTATTGACATTCAGGCTATTTTGAAAAGAAAGTTGCTAAGAACGTTCGTGTACAAATCTTTATATGGACATGTGGTATAATTTTTCATGGATAAATACCTAGGAGTGGAATAGCTGAATTATATGGAAGGTATATGGGTAACTTTTTAAGAAACTGACCTGTTTTCCAAAGTGGTGGTACTGTTTTGCATTCCCATCATCGGTTTCTCCAAATTATTCCAACCTTGGTCTGGTCAGTTTTTTAAATTTTAGCCATTCTAATAGGTGTATAATGGTATCTCATTACAGTTTTAATTAGTATTTCACTAATTACTAATCTTGATCTTTTCATTTTTTTTTTATTTGCCATCTGTATTATCTTCTTTGAAGTGTTCAAATCTTATGCCCATTTAAAAAATTAGGTTTTTATTGTTGCGTTTTGAGAGTTCTTACATAATCTGGATACAAGTTCTTCATCAGATACATGTTTTGCAAATATTTTCTCTCAGTCTGAAACTGTCTTTTAATTCTCCTAACAGTGCCTTTTGAAAAACAGAAGTTCTTAGTTTTGATGAAGTCCAGTTTATCAGTTCTTTTGTGGATTGTGCTTTTGGATTCATACTAGAAATTTTTCCCTAACCCCAGGTTATAAAGATTTTCTCCAGTGTTTAAGGAGTTTTATGGTTTCAGGTTATGTGAGATTCATCTTGAGATAATTTTTATTTATAGTGGGAGGTATGGATCAAAGTTTATTTATTTTTTATATTTGGCAAGTGGATATCCAGTTAGTCTAGAACCGTTTGTTGAACAGATTATCTTTTCTTCACTAAACTGCCTTTTCACTTTTGTCAAAAATCAGTTGTCTTGTGTATGTGTAGGTCTGCTTAGGGATACTTTGTTTCGTTGATTTCTTTGTCTTTATACCAATACCATGCTGTTTTGATTACAATGGCTT